AGTTACAACCCGACATAGAGACCTATTCTAACCTGGTGTCTCCACAAGAGTCCACTACCTCCCAATACCCCTTTAATGGTTACAACCCGACATAGAGACCTGATTCCTAACCTGGTATCTCCACAAAGTCCACTACCTCCCAATACCCCAATAGTTACAACCAGAGCATAGAGACCTATTCTAACTTGTATCTCCACCAAAGTCCACTTACCTCCCAATACCCCAATAGTTTTTCAACCCGACAGAGACCTATTCTAACCTGGTATCTCCACAGGTCCACTACCTCCCAATGCCCAATGGTTACAACCCGACCTTAGAGACCTATTCTAACCTGGTATCTCCACCCAAAGTCCACCACCTCCCAATACCCCAATGGTTACAACCCGACATAGAGACCTATTCTAGCTTGGGTATCATCCACAAGTCCACTACCTCCCAATACCCCCAATGGTTTCAACCGACCACAGAGACCTATTCTAACCTGGTATCTCCACAAGTCCACTACCTCCCATGCACCCCAATAGTTACAACCCGACATTAGAGACCTATTTTAACCTGGTATCTCCACAAGTCCACTGCCTCCCAATACCCCAATAGTTACAACCGACCCCATGGAGACCTATTTTAACCCTGGAGTATCTCCTACAGTCCACTACCTCCCAATGGTTCCAACCGACATAGAGACCTATTCTAACTTGGTATCTCCACAAGTCCACTACCTCCCAATACCCCAATGGTTCAGCAGAACCGTTATACAGACCTATTCTAACCCTGGTATCCTCCACCTAGTCCACTCACCTCCCAATACCCCAATAGTTACAACCCCACAGAGACCCTGTGCAACCTGGGTATCTCCACAAGTCCACCTACCTCCCAATACCCCAATGGCTCCAACCGGCATGAAGACCTATTTATAACTTTGGGTATCTCCCACAGAGTCCACTATCTTGTAATACCCCCAGTAGTTACAACCGAGAGCATAGAGACCCATTCTAACCTCTGCATATCCACAAAGTCCACTACCTCCCAATACCCCAATAGATCCAACCGACATAGAGACCTATTCTAACCTGTAGGTATCCTCCACAAGTCCACTGCCTCCCCAATACCCCAATGGATTTACAACCCGACATAGAGACCCTATTATTACAACCTGAGTATCTCCACAAGTCCACTACCTCCCAATACCCAATAGTTACAAGCTTAGATATAGAGACCCCATTCTAACCTGGGTATCTCCCACAGGTCAATACCTCCCAATGCCCCAATGGTTCCAAGCCGAGCCACTTTAGGGGACCTATTCCTAAACACAAGGTATCTCCACCGGTCCAAAATGCCTCCCAATACTTACAATGGTTCCAACCCGACCCATACCAGACCTATTCCTAACCTGGTGTCTCCTGAGATCCACTACCTCCCACAAGATGACAATAGATCCAGCAGGCATGGGGGACCTAGCTTCTAACTGGGTATCTCCCTGCAGATCCCACTGCCTCCCAATGCCCAATAGGTTACACAACCGACATAGAGACCCTGCTCTAACCTGGTATCTCCACAAGTCCACTGCCTCCCAATGCCCCAATGGTTCCAACCCGACCCCTGGCGACCTATTCTAGCTGGCAGGTATCTCCACAAGTCCACTACTCCCAATGCCCCAATGGTTCAAGCAGACAATACAGACCTATTCTAGCCATGGGTATCTCCTGACCGTCCACTTACCTCCCAATGCCCCAATGGTTCCAACCGACCTTAGAGACCTACAATTCTAACCTGAGGTATCTCCCACAAGTCCACTACCTCCCAATGCCCCAATAGTTACAACCCGACATAGCGACCTGCTCTGGCCTGGTGTCTCTAGAAAGTCCACTGCATACCCAATGCCCCAATGGTTACAACAGACATATGGAGACCCTATTCCTAACTTGGTATCCCACAGAGTCCCACTGGCTCCCTAATCCCCAGCCAGATTTAACCCGACATGTGGAGACCTATTCTAGCTTGAGTATCTCCATCCATCATGTCAATAGTAATCAGAAACATGCAGCAGAGGCATTGAGGTGATACACACCTGGGCCCTAGATTTTCGAAGCTCTCATAGAAGCTAAGACAATGAAGTGAGATTAATGTTAATGTATGGCGCTACGAGCTATTGTAGTAAGGACTTTCCAGCATCAAACCTGAATCCCATCCTGGAAGACCTTGTAGAGAGTTACACATTACACATTCACCCTGTGACCTTATGGCCAGAGGGGTTAAACTTCTGGATTTTTGCTTGAAGCTGACACACCACAATTTTTTCTGTAGGGGTCAGTCCACACGAAATCAGTTTTCACTCGTTGTCTGTGCAATAAATTATGCAGAAATGCAGTACACATGATTATGAAGATCCTGTCAAAGAGTTAAACTGCACACTAGACATCACTATAGAAGATCCCGAATGACAGGATTAAAATGCAAAATTGCATGCACCTGGGCATGGCCGAGTGAGTTTGGTTTATGCTGCTGAATTATATATATCAAGAGACTAAAGTGCGTTAGTCCTAGGTCTGCCGCTTAGGAATCCACTGGTCTGTGATATCAATCACATCAGAATATGCCTCAACATGACAGTCAAAAGTTCAGAGGTGTCTGGAGTGCACTTCAAATTTTTCAAAAGGCGCTGACTGTCAGCCAAAGAATTCACCAAATGTTTTAATCTCTTTTAGCACCAGAGATTCGACCAAAGCATCTTTGACATTAATGCTTTGACAGTAATTCATTTTAACATTGAATATTCTTTCCACATCAATGCAAATTCCTGTACGCCAAAATGTATCAATTGGTGGATTATTTTGGCCTGGGGCTCAACTATACTCATATAGCTGTACCCAAACACCTTTGGCACAACAGTCCAACAATCACGGATTACAAATGGTCACAAGTCACAAATGGAAAAAGTGCCAGGTCTATTCTACTCAGCCTGACTCGTACAGCAGTCATGTCGGCATACGTTATCGACTATAACACAACCCTCAATATTCACATTAAGCCATTAAGCTGATCTGTCCAGCCTGGCCCAGAACTACTAGAATTGTGCTCCAGGACAGATAAATATGCAATGGATGCGAAGTTTTCACTTACTAACACCATTTTGAAGGCTACAATTTCTGAGTCCAGATCCAGCATTAAAGAATTTTTGCTACAAGAAACTGGAACTTCACGAAACCAACGCACAGTATAATCATTAGGGTTTTTTTGTCTTGTTAAAGCATAAAGTACCTACAATATCAGAGACTGCTAAAAAATCACTCCCAGCAATCTGGACTAGTCTTTTAAAAGAACAATTTTTTATATTTCAGCAACAGCCAGAGATCACAAGAGTGATACCTTCAAGTAGTGCTTTTATTGATTGAATATTAATTTCATTTTCAAGTATGTAACACCTCACCAGAAACGACTTTTTATTCATCAGGACCTTGCACATCAGAGGTTCGCCTTAGGCTACGACAAGGATATCTATTGCGTGGAGCTGAGCAGTTATTATTTCCCACTGAGTAAAGTGTACAAGTACCTGCAGCATGAGCTGGAGGACAAGGAAATAGATAAGGTTACACAGTCTACTGCCCACTGGTGAGTAACTGACAGCTTGAAACGCAATCTCATTCTTTTCTGACTTACTCACTGAACTTGTGTACCATGTTTACTAATAACAGTTTAACAAATGCTTTTACAAATTCACTGACCTGAAGAAGTTAAAATTGACAGTTTAAAAGTTTGTGTGAATGACAATTTTCTATTTGAGTGAACATGAACTCTTGTTATTCCATGGAGAGACTTTTTAATATATTTTTTCAACCTTTTACTTTCAAGGGATTCACATGAGACCATAAACATTTACTTTCATCACTTTGCCTAAATTTGATGTCTATACTTAGCACCGCTTCCTATACTGTAGTGAGTGAGTGAGTGAGTGTGGTTTTACACCACTTTTAGCAATATTACGATCAGAGGACAATGCAGAAATGGGCTTCACACATTGTACCCATGTGGGGAATCAACCCGGTCTTCAAATGCGTGTCAATGCGATGTCGCTTTTAAACATTAATCTTAAACTGCCCTTTCATACTGTGTTTTTTTTTATAATTTTGGGGTATTTCTTATAGACAAGTCATTTGATTTAGCATTCATTCAAGTTTATTCAGTTACATGACTGACATCTGCTAAAATATTGTGGTACTTAGAAGGTGATCACAAACATTTTCTAAAAATGTATCACAAATCATCGGGGATACTCAAAATATAATAATAATCACATCTATCGATGACATTGATATGAAAGCTGTGTCACTGGTAATATGTCTTATGAACTAGTGTGATGAACAAAGTTTACATCTAATACCTGTGACACCTTCAAATTGGGGACATACCATGTAGGGTTTGAGAATGAAGATGTTGTGTAAGCATGAAGTTATATTTCCACATACGTGGTCAGTGTTGCAGAGAAGCTAATGAGGGAATTTGTCACACCAGGCATAGCAGCAAGCAATATTCTCAGCAATTTCAAACAAAAGAACTCTTCCAAGTATACAACCAGAGCTGCGGCGTGCGCAGGTACAGAGTCAAGAGCCACACTATCATCCCATCCTACGGGTACCCATTTAGTGAAGGATGAGAGCTTGCCTTACCGGGAGAGACAAGTTACTCTTAAGCCCTTGAAACTCTGAAGCAATGCCCGGAACAAAATCATCCATCCAATTACTGTCGCCTCCAGATTTGACCGTGTGTACCATTATTTTGTACACTGGAGGGTCAGATCTTACAATAAAAGAAGGTATGACATACCGCCAACCAAGCTCATGGACTGACAGAAAATAATTACTGAAAATGAGGGATATGAACATGATGAACCATCAACAACAGTAAAATGAGACACACAACACTGCACAGCATCTTAGATACTGGGCAACCTACGTTCAATGTGACACTGAGACAAAGCACAATGTATTTCAAGCGCCTTCTACCTAAATTCTGCCGTGGCTTGAAAGATTCTTGCTTTCCATGATAGAAAGAGACACAGAGAAAGCCTTATCCACTCACGAAAGTAATTATCCCGTTGCTCGCGTGAGTCTAACCGCAATCCGGCAGTGTCTAGGATGTCAATCTGAACCTCCTCTCCATCCAGCACTACCTTCTCTTCTTCGATCACGAAATGAAACTTTTGTTGGTTAAGTGAATCCTCACCTGCAAACTGAAGAAAGACAGAAGATTTGAGTGAATGGAAACGCACTTGAATGTGTCACAAAGGGGCAATTATGAAGACACTTTCAGCAATATTCCAGCAGTTCTTACACTGGAGGACAATTGGCTTCACACATCACAGCGATTAGTAAGCGGCCAGCAAAAGCACTAGAGCTCCCATTTGCTTTTCCTTCATTATTAGAACTCATCTTGTACTGAGAATAATGCAAAGCAAACTCCAAATTATGCTTATTAAGCGGTTTCATCCATGGGTTTAACTGCTTACAGGAACAAATGTAATTTGTCTGATCTTAAACACAATGCAGAGAACAATATAATAGTTAAATCGTTTTATGTCTGATCTTGAACACACAATGCTAGAGACAATATAATGGTATCTGAAATAATTAGACAAACCAGGAAACAAAATATTATTGATCACCACTTACTCAAATCCAAGAAAAATAGAATTACCTCCCTTTAAAAGAAAAACATGTCCAATTAGAATTTGTAAATGACTTACAATGCATCTTGTATCTAGTTAAAGGAAACATCCTGACAGGTAACTTGGAAAAGGAAGATTATACTTTGTTCAAAATTGTGATATTTTTCCGCAATTTCATATTTTGCTAAAAATTTGGGCTAACATTGTATATTGAGATTTATTCAATGTGTGAGTTTAGTTTTGTAATTTAGCTTTTAGCAATATATCAGCAATATCTTGACTGGGGACACTAGAAATTGGCTTCACACATTGTACCCATGAGAATGTGAAGGTCAACCCAGGTCTCTAGTTGTGAGGCCAGGTGAGCGCTTTAACCACTAGGCTACCCCACTGTCCCTTATTCAATCAATACTACAACAAGGAGAAAGTATTAAAAACGCACTTGCAATTCGTTGGTCTTGTTATCAATGGAAGTTACAAGATAAACCACAATGCGAAAATAAAATTAACGGTATAGGATACACCTATCAAAAGAAACCTGGCGGTTACAATTACCAAACATAAATGTTTAAATAAAGGAATAAAAAGGAACATTTAGATTAAGGTGCGTTATTGTTGAATAGGGAAATTATAAATTCCAAATCAGGAATTTTTAAATGACGTTGCGACCAGATTGAAATATCAGCCTCTGCTCGATTATTTACACCAACCCCTGTAGTTTTCCTCTTGATTATGTTTCGCTAATGGTTTAATAGCAAAATTCAGCTCTTACCTCATCTATACATAATTCTGTAATGTTAATTTGGACTTTCCCAAGCCGCTTCAACCGATGACTTTATGTATCTTTTGCTTCAGTTGCTGCGTTTTTCAGCCTTCGACAGCGATGTCTCGGATTTGTCGGGTTTTGTTAACTGTGGCTAAACCATATTGATTTGAAAATGGAGGACAATTGAGCTTATGAAATGTATGTCGGAATTCAGACGAACGGACCAGGCATGCGAAAACAGAAGACCTTACTGCTGACAAATCCGGCATAGATCTCAACCATTCTGTATAAAATAATTAGATGTAATTTTGGCTCCATGGCCAGTGAGGCTGTCTTCACCTAAGCTGGTTGTCTACCAGGGAAAGTGGGAGATGGTGCTAGACCTTTGGAAAATCAGTGAAATCTGCAGAACCTTAATGCCAATATCTTTTCTTCCACGCTGAAGGCTCAGTCACAAGAGTGTCACATGCGGCACTTCTGTTGCAGATGCACCGAAGCCACTAATATTTCTAGGAACCGGTAGCTTCTTGACATAAGGCTTTTTGGCTGCGTGGGACTATACCAATCATCTTGAACCACGTTAAACAAGAGCAGCTGTATTATAATGAGCCCAATTCATAATATTTGTACAAAATATCATCTCAATGAAAGGATTTTCCTTGGACAAACTGTTGAACTGATCCCATTGTTACAAAGCTGGAGCTACATTTTACTGAAAAGGCAAAAATATTCATTTGATGAAGTGACCTACTACATGCCCTAATAGAGCGTGATAACCTAAGAGAAAATTTAAAAGTGTAAAATCTAAAAGCCAAAAAACAATGGAGAATTTTGTTAGATAAGCATTTTAAGAAGTAATGTTGCCGTCCATGTGCTATGATTTTCCATCTTGGTTCCACTCAGGTTGCAATATGACATCAACATTGAATCATTAGTGATTTTCTAGAAGTAGATGCACTTTGGAAGACTTAGGGTTGTATCATCACTGAGGGCTGTAACAACAGGCCACTATATTCTGCAGATATGATACGTATCGAATATTAAGGTAGCGAATACGAATAATTATTCATGAATACAATATTGCTGAATGAATTGGATTGATGCACAATATAGCTGAATGCCCATCATTGACAGTGTTAATTTGTCTCAGCAGTAACAGTCATCTCGAGACACCCTACATTTTGTATGTAATAGTTATAGTTGGCAGTAACATATCCATACAGCGAAACTAACATGACTTGAACACTACAAGGCTGAGTACATGTTGCATTCATACATATCTACGTTTTGAGAAGGGACATAAAGGGTTGAAATAAAATTACACTCCCTTATAAAATTTATAAATATTCATTGAATATTCGGGTTTCGCGCCGACCCGCGAATGCTTGAATTGAATTCATGAGAAGGAGACTGCAGTTTAAATTCTTCGAATATGCACGAGAGTGAATCGTTACAGCAAATCATCACCCATCATTTAAATACTGCTTGTTAATTAAACATACATGAAGGGGCTTCCCGCAACTAATGCTCTGGATCTGTTTATTTTGCTTATACATAATAACTATAAATATCAGAATTCTTTCAACAGTTTTATTGTTTCAAAACTAAGTCAAAGGGGACCTACTCATGATCCTCCTGTTAAGACTACATTTTAGATTCTCCGAATCAAAATTATCCTTCCAAAGGTGCACTTGTTCTTGGACCCTAAGGATTTTAATTAATTATTTTCTAACCCATCCTTAGTGAGGGGTGGAGGTATATGGTTTCGCCGCTTTAGCAATCTTCCAGCAGTATCAAGCAGAGGAACTTTTCAGAAATGGGCTTCATTTGTTGAGCATATGCTAACCATCATAACCCTGATGGGTATCAAAGATTCATATTATTTGAAACTAAAATGGTACAAACGCTCCTAGACTTTATTAATATAATTCTTGGTTTTGTTTGTTGTGTACTTTTCACTCTCAGTAACATTCCAGCTATACAGAATTTACAGGATAAGCTGCGTATCTGCATTCATACGCAAATATTTATGTGAAAACTCGAAGATTCCCTATCCACAGGAGACTATTTCGTATAAAGTGCTTAGTTTTGCCATCTCTCAATAAATGTGACCATACATGCGTTACACAATACTCATGAAATCTAGAAACATACCGGTTGGATAAATAGAATAACATGGTAACGAGGGTATAATGAGGCATTCTGTTTCCAGGACATGAACTTGGCAGCTTGCAGTCTTTTCTTATCGACTTCCTCATATTACAGATCAAATATAAATAACAAACACTAACATTTTAAACTTGCA